CTGGGCTTGGCTGTTTTCACTCCAACGCTGTCCTCATGACAGCACGGTCCCTTCACCTGATGAAGGCCACTTGTGTTGTGGCCGAAACGTCGTGATTTTTGTTATTTTATTTTGTACCTACGTGACTTTACCGAATAGAACCAAAGAGTATGGATCCTTGCAGTCACGAAAGCTTCAAATCTAGAATCTTAACCAGTCCTGGGACTGCCAAGGGCCACTCAGTCCTTAATTGAGTAAACATGGATGGTGTGTAAACATCAGCACTGGCGAGACAAAGGCGACCGGGTGCGGTGCTGGCCACTACACACGCTAGCTAACAGCACATGCCCCAGTAGCCTGTTGAAGGCTATATGGGGGATCTTTGTTTTTGTGTGTACACGCGTGGCTGAGCTATGTGGAGGAGGAGGCGGCTGCGGCGTGAATGCGGAGAGCGCTGATGTCAGCTGGGGGTTTATTTTCACGCTCCGTCATTTAGGAGTGTGAAGGAAATTTACTGCGCCTGGCAGCCACGTAAAGCACAGCAGTCTTTGTCATGCTCGCCGGCGGCACTTCGAGAGGGAGAGCTGGTGGCACAGGCGTGGCGGGTACACGATGGCACAGGAGGGGCACAGTGGCGCAGAAAAGATAGTGTCACTCTAAAGGGAGTGTCACTATCTTTGGCTGAAAATATATTAACGTAATAACCCAGTGCAAGAACTAAACAAGCGCGTAGTGGCGACACCGCTCGGATAAATCTCTGCCCGGTTGCAGAAACATGCAGCACAAATATTACAGAATCAGCGTTTGGAAAGGGTTCTTAAGATAGGAGGCTGCATTCCTTACCCCATTAGAAGCATACGAATTCACCCCGAAGCCCTGCAATGAACGCCTCGTGCCGAACCACGACCGGGCCGGAATTCGCCCGCAGGCGGAGTGGACACGGCCACAGGGCAGCACGCGAGGCTGGCGCGGCACACGAGGGGGTGGGTGGCCAACACCACGCCCGGCCGCCTTTGTCTCCCCAGTGGCGATGTTTACACACCGCACCAGGTACTCATTTAAGGGTGAGTCAACCAATAGCAGGACCAGGATCGGTTTAAATATTTGCCACTTGTATCGCAATTGGTCGTGAGCGGAAATTGACCTCGGGTCGCCGGGGTCACAGCGCGCGAAGCACTGCACTGGCACGCGGCTCTCACGCAGCTCCTTGGCGACTTGTTTTGACCTGGAACATCCCTAGAGATGGAGCTTCTCGGTTGCAAGGCTGTCCAGAGTGTCAATTACCAGAAATAAAACACGCCACCAGACACGTACACACAGATTTTAAATCTATTACTTATACCGTTTGCATTGATACATTAATATCTCACGAAGTAAAACACATAATTATGTGCATATACATCATTTGATGGAGAACACCGCCGGTTCGTGTAGAATGCACTCGAGCTGCTGCCGCGGTTGTGCGAGTGCATTTTAATGAGAAATGGTAATGACATTAGGTCATCATCTACATGTTCGTGAGTGCGTCAGCTCGTTCCGTACTGAGGCGTCTCTGTGCCTGAATGAGAGCGCGCCTCTCCGAGTTGCCACTCGAGGCACAGTCCGGAATCGACGCCCGTCTTCGTGCCGAGCCGCGCAACTTCTCCAGGCCGCCCCCGGGCAGCGCCACGGCCCCCCGAGTCCGCGCTCGCCGAGCGGCCAAACTCAAACACTCGCCCTGAGCCCGTCGAGTCGTCGGGCTCAGCCGCTTGGCTGCGCGAGTGACGAAGCGGCCGAGCCCAGCGCAGCGGTGGCCATCGCAGACCTCTTCCTGTCCGGCGGCAACGGCGCCCGCATCAAACGCGCCGCGCACTTTGAAAGGGGGATGGGGGTTTAAATCCGCGTCTCACCCCCACCCCCTGCGGACGCGGCGGCGGCTGCTGCGATGCTTTCAAGTGGCTGGCCGCGCAGGGAATTAATCCGAATGAGACAACCACGGCCGCGCCGTTCGCGCGGCGCGGTGGTCGGTGCAGGGGGGGGGCACGACCGCGGCTCTCGACGCGGACGTCTGAACACGCGGTCGGGCGTTTGCCTCGGAGTGGCACGCGTCGAGCGAGTCCGTCACGAGCGCCCCAGAGACACCGCGGGGCGATCATCTCGAGAGCGGCGTCAGAACTCGCCAACTTGACGCCACGCGCGCTCTGTGACTCCTCTCCATTGTGACGCGTGCCCCCCCCCCCCCTCGTCCGGCGGCGTGGGCCCGGCAGTGATGGAGCGCCAGTTTTCATGAACGCAAACCTCACATAGATCTAAAACACACATTCATATGTCGGCTTTCACGACTACTCGTATGTTCAAATTGCATGTCTCTTGTGTGAGATTGTCGTGTAGATGTAACCCTCCAGCACCAAACAGAGCCAATTACATCAATAGTATCACGTGGGAAAATGGGGTAATCATTTGGTTGATCAGCACCACCGGATATGGAATGCTGAAAAGCGATGAGGAGGAGGAGTCGGAGAAGGAGGCGACGCGGAGCACAGAGGAGTGGTTCCGCGTGGCTCCATGTGGCTCAAATTCTCCCTGCACGAGCCGTCCCACAGCTCTCCGTGAAGCAGCCTCACGACGCGTGGCTCAATGCGCCACGAAGCACAAGCACGGCCTGAATGACAAACAGCAACGCCTTGGCAGGGGCAGCAGTGACAGCTGTAAAAAAAAACGAAATAAGCAAAATGCTCAATGCAGGACCGTGCCGAATCAAAGACTCGGTGAGGCGCATGGCCAATTCCTCGGATCACCTCCTGCACAGTGAATACCCACGCTCGTCACCCAGTCAGCCAAGGTCTATGATCAACACGGCGCAGTAATAACACCGGCACCAGATCTCGATACAAATTAGTTCCTGATGCCACCAGAACAGGTATGCTAAGTCCCGGAGTGATCCGGGACCAGCCCGGAACAGGGGAACAACCCTAGCCCTAAGGCTCCCTCCGTCCTTGGACCAGCCCCTCTCCCCAATCTCTCTCTGTAAGCTGCTGTTCGCTGCGCGCGGATGGTGGTGGTGATGATGGTGGTGAGAATGGTGGGGAGGATGGTGGTGAGGATGGTGGTGATAATGGTGGTGAGGATGGTGGTGAGGATGGTGGTGAGGATGGTGGTAAGGATGGTGGGAAGGATGGTGGTGAGGATGGTGGTGAGGATGGTGGTAAGGATGGTGGTGAGGATGGTGATAAGGATGGTGGTGAGGATGGTGGTAAGGATGGTGGTGAGGTGGTGGTGATGGTGGTGAGGATGGTGAGGATGGTGGTGATGATGGTGGTGAGGATGGTGGTAATGGTGGTGAGGATGGTGAGGATGGTGGGGAGGATGGTGGTGAGGATGGTGGTAAGGATGGTGGTGAGGATGGTGGTAAGGATGGTGGTGAGGATGGTGGTAAGGACGGTGGTGAGGATGGTGGTGATGGTGGTGAGCATGGTGGTGAGGATGGTGGTGAGGATGGTGGGGAGGATGGTGGGGAGGATGGTGAGGATGGTGGTAAGGATGGTGGTGAGGATGGTGGTAAGGATGGTGGTGAGGATGGTGGTAAGGATGGTGGTGAGGATGGTGAGGATGGTGGTGATGATGGTGGTGAGGATGGTGGTAATGGTGGTGAGGATGGTGAGGATGGTGGGGAGGATGGTGATGAGGATGGTGGTAAGGATGGTGGTGAGGATGGTGGTAAGGATGGTGGTGAGGATGGTGGTAAGAACGGTGGTGAGGATGGTGGTGAGCATGGTGGTGAGGATGGTGGTGATGATGGTGGTGAGGATGGTATGGTAGTGAGGATGGTGGTGACGATGGTGGTGAGGATGGTGGTGAGGATGGTGGTGACGATGGTGGTGAGGATGGTGGTGATGGTGGTGAGCATGGTGGTGAGGATGGTGGTGAGGATGGTGGGGAGGATGGTGGGGAGGATGGTGGGGAGGATGGTGAGGATGGTGGTAAGGATGGTGGTGAGGATGGTGGTAAGGATGGTGGTGAGGATGGTGGTAAGGATGGTGGTGAGGATGGTGAGGATGGTGGTGATGATGGTGGTGAGGATGGTGGTAATGATGGTGAGGATGGTGAGGATGGTGGGGAGGATGGTGGTGAGGATGGTGGTAAGGATGGTGGTGAGGATGGTGGTAAGGATGGTGGTGAGGATGGTGGTAAGGACGGTGGTGAGGATGGTGGTGAGCATGGTGGTGAGGATGGTGGTGATGATGGTGGTGAGGATGGTATGGTGGTGAGGATGGTGGTGACGATGGTGGTGAGGATGGTGGTGATGATGGTGGTGAGGATGGTGGTGACGATGGTGGTGAGGATGGTGGTGATGATGGTGGTGAGGATGGTGGTGACGATGGTGGTGAGGATGGTATGGTGGTGGGGATGGTCGCGGTGGCACCGGGGGCCGTTGCGTTCCAGACTGTCACCAGTTCCTCTCTCCCCCTTCACACCCACACACAGAATAAACGAGCGGACAATACACGCGTCTCTCGCCTCCACGTGAAACGTAAAGTAACGTATTTTACACATCCCATCAACCAACATGGCATTCTGTAAGTGCATAATATCAACAGCATTGATTCAGTATTCAGTGTCTCATCAAGAGTCAGTCTTGCTTGAGTCAATGCTGTCGAACTTCCAGAAGACCTTCCCAGTTCGATCTGGGTCCTAGTAAGACGCACAACAGAAAGCACTAGCATCAATGTGAAGAATACATCAACACAAATACCCAGACACTTCGCCCCCTTCACATATCTCTCCCTCTAAATAAAAAATCAATGTCTTTAACATTTGGATAAATCTGGCAGCTCATCAGCATTTGTTCAAACAAGCCTGACTCTGTCGATGAGACACTAAACGCCAAAACCGGTTGAGAGCTTGCTTGTCTGTAACGAATCCTGCTGAAATGATGCTCTTCAAGAAGAATGTAGACAGATTTGTTTTTATTTGGCGTGGAGTGACAGATGTGGGAAGGAGGCGACTTGTCGGTTGAGTTGGTTTGTGTCCGACTACGAAAGGAAACGGAGGCAGCCAGCGGGGCAGGGAGTGGCGTGGAGGCGACGGCCCCGTGACGCTCCGGGCCCAGCGCCGGCCGCTCGGCCACCTGGGCCCAGTCCCGCAGTTGACGCCGCTGCCGCAGGACAAGCGCGCCGAGCTCCTCCAGGGGGCCAACGCTGCACCGCTAGGAGACGGAATGAGTCCCTACGCCGGATTATTCATCTCGGCAGAGGCGTTAAACGTAAACAAACTGGGCAGGTTTGACATTTTCACAGCGTCATTTTTCCACGGAATGTATTTCTGGAGAGTCCTCACAGCGCGGCACCTCCACTGGGAGCTGCGTCCCGCGCTCTCTCTGCCTCTGCCCCCGCGCCTCCGACTCCTTCTCCTGCACTTCCGAGAGAGCACGGTTGGCTACGTACGGTGCGAAAGAAGTTCGACAGGCATGCATACAACGCCAAAGGCGCACACAGGTGAAGGATTCGGAGGGCGCCCATTGCTTTCCCACTCTCTCTCCATTAGGGGCATCGGCGACTGATTTATTTATTTTCTAAAACGGTTACTGAGCACAGGGCCCAGAGAGATAGAACGTCAATCGGCCAGCAACAAACAGTATAAAGGTCCGTGCTGTGAAACGAACCGTGATGTCGAAACACTGCCTGTGACCTCCTTGTCATCACTGCCCGTGACCTCCATGTCATCACTGCCTGTGACCTCCATGTCATCACGGCCTGTGACCTCCATGTCATTACGGCCTGTGACCTCCATGTCATCACTGCCTGTGACCTCCATGTCATCACTGCCTGTGACCTCCATGTCATCACTGCCTGTGACCTCCATGTCATCAATGCCTGTGACCTCCATGTCATCACGGCCTGTGACCTCCATGTCATTACGGCCTGTGACCTCCATGTCATCACTGCCTGTGACCTCCATGTCATTCCAGCCTGTGACCTCCATATCATCACTGCCTGTGACCTCCATGTCATTACGGCCTGTGACCTCCATATCATCACTGCCTGTGACCTCCATGTCATCACTGCCTGTGACCTCCATGTCATCACGGCCTGTGACCTCGATGTCATCACGGCCTGTGACCTCCATGTCATCACGGCCTGTGACCTCCATGTCATCACGGCCTGTGACCTCCATGTCATCACTGCCTGTGACTTCCATGTCATCACTGCCTGTGACCTCCATATCATCACGGCCTGTGACCTCCATGTCATCACGGCCTGTGACCTCCATGTCATCACGGCCTGTGACCTCCATGTCATCACGGCCTGTGACCTCCATGTCATCACGGCCTGTGACCTCCATGTCATCACGGCCTGTGACCTCCATGTCATCACGGCCTGTGACCTCCATGTCATCACGGCCTGTGACCTCCATGTCATCACGGCCTGTGACCTCCATGTCATCACGGCCTGTGACCTCCATGTCATTACGGCCTGTGACCTCCATGTCATCACGGCCTGTGACCTCCATGTCATCACTGCCTGTGACCTCCATGTCATCACTGCCTGTGACCTCCATGTCATCACGGCCTGTGACCTCCATGTCATTACGGCCTGTGACCACCATGTCATCACTGCCTGTGACCTCCATGTCATCACGGCCTGTGACCTCGATGTCATCACGGCCTGTGACCTCCATGTCATCACGGCCTGTGACCTCCATGTCATCACTGCCTGTGACCTCCATGTCATCACTGCCTGTGACCTCCATGTCATCACTGCCTGTGACCTCCATGTCATCAATGCCTGTGACCTCCATGTCATCACGGCCTGTGACCTCCATGTCATTACGGCCTGTGACCTCCATGTCATCACTGCCTGTGACCTCCATGTCATCACTGCCTGTGACCTCCATGTCATTACAGCCTGTGACCTCCATGTCATCACGGCCTGTGACCTCCATATCATCACTGCCTGTGACCTCCATGTCATCACTGCCTGTGACCTCCATGTCATCACGGCCTGTGACCTCGATGTCATCACGGCCTGTGACCTCCATGTCATCACGGCCTGTGACCTCCATGTCATCACGGCCTGTGACCTCCATGTCATCACTGCCTGTGACTTCCATGTCATCACTGCCTGTGACTTCCATGTCATCACGGCCTGTGACCTCCATGTCATCACGGCCTGTGACCTCCATGTCATCACTGCCTGTGACCTCCATGTCATCACGGCCTGTGACCTCCATGTCATCACGGCCTGTGACCTCCATGTCATCACGGCCTGTGACCTCCATGTCATCACGGCCTGTGACCTCCATGTCATCACGGCCTGTGACCTCCATGTCATTCACGGCCTGTGACCTCCATGTCATCACGGCCTGTGACCCTCCATGTCATTACGGCCTGTGACCTCCATGTCATCACGGCCTGTGACCTCCATGTCATCACTGCCTGTGACCTCCATGTCATCACTGCCTGTGACCATCCATGTCATCAATGCCTGTGACCTCCATGTCATCACGGCCTGTGACCTCCATGTCATTACGGCCTGTGACCTCCATGTCATCACTGCCTGTGACCTCCATGTCATCACGGCCTGTGACCTCCATATCATCACTGCCTGTGACCTCCATGTCATTACGGCCTGTGACCTCCATATCATCACTGCCTGTGACCTCCATGTCATCACTGCCTGTGACCTCCATGTCATCACGGCCTGTGACCTCGATGTCATCACGGCCTGTGACCTCCATGTCATCACGGCCTGTGACCTCCATGTCATCACGGCCTGTGACCTCCATGTCATCACGGCCTGTGACCTCCATGTCATCACTGCCTGTGACCTCCATATCATCACGGCCTTGTGACCTCCATGTCATCACGGCCTGTGACCTCCATGTCATCACGGCCTGTGACCTCCATTCATCACGGCCTGTGACCTCCATGTCATCACGGCCTGTGACCTCCATGTCATCACGGCCCTGTGACCTCCATGTCATCACGGCCTGTGACCTCCATGTCATCACGGCCTGTGACCTCCATGTCATCACGGCCTGTGACCTCCATGTCATCACGGCCTGTGACCTCCATGTCATCACGGCCTGTGACCTCCATGTCATCACGGCCTGTGACCTCCATGTCATCACGGCCTGTGACCTCCATGTCATTACGGCCTGTGACCTCCATGGTCATCACGGCCTGTGACCTCCATGTCATCACTGCCTGTGACCTCCATGTCATCACTTGCCTGTGACCTCCATGTCATCACGGCCTGTGACCTCCATGTCATTACGGCCTGTGACCACCATGTCATCACTGCCTGTGACCTCCATGTCATCACGGCCTGTGACCTCAATGTCATCACGGCCTGTGACCTCAATGTCATCACGGCCTGTGACCTCCATGTCATCACTGCCTGTGACCTCCATGTCATCACTGCCTGTGACCTCCATGTCATCACTGCCTGTGACCTCCATGTCATCAATGCCTGTGACCTCCATGTCATCACGGCCTGTGACCTCCATGTCATTACGGCCTGTGACCTCCATGTCATCACTGCCTGTGACCTCCATGTCATCACTGCCTGTGACCTCCATGTCATTACAGCCTGTGACCTCCATGTCATTACGGCCTGTGACCTCCATATCATCACTGCCTGTGACCTCCATGTCATCACTGCCTGTGACCTCCATGTCATCACGGCCTGTGACCTCGATGTCATCACGGCCTGTGACCTCCATGTCATCACGGCCTGTGACCTCCATGTCATCACGGCCTGTGACCTCCATGTCATCACTGCCTGTGACTTCCATGTCATCACTGCCTGTGACTTCCATGTCATCACGGCCTGTGACCTCCATGTCATCACGGCCTGTGACCTCCATGTCATCACGGCCTGTGACCTCCATGTCATCACGGCCTGTGACCTCCATGTCATCACGGCCTGTGACCTCCATGTCATCACGGCCTGTGACCTCCATGTCATCACGGCCTGTGACCTCCATGTCATCACGGCCTGTGACCTCCATGTCATCACGGCCTGTGACCTCCATGTCATCACGGCCTGTGACCTCCATGTCATTACGGCCTGTGACCTCCATGTCATCACGGCCTGTGACCTCCATGTCATCACTGCCTGTGACCTCCATGTCATCACTGCCTGTGACCTCCATGTCATCAATGCCTGTGACCTCCATGTCATCACGGCCTGTGACCTCCATGTCATTACGGCCTGTGACCTCCATGTCATCACTGCCTGTGACCTCCATGTCATCACGGCCTGTGACCTCCATATCATCACTGCCTGTGACCTCCATGTCATTACGGCCTGTGACCTCCATATCATCACTGCCTGTGACCTCCATGTCATCACTGCCTGTGACCTCCATGTCATCACGGCCTGTGACCTCGATGTCATCACGGCCTGTGACCTCCATGTCATCACGGCCTGTGACCTCCATGTCATCACTGCCTGTGACCTCCATGTCATCACTGCCTGTGACCTCCATATCATCACGGCCTGTGACCTCCATGTCATCACGGCCTGTGACCTCCATGTCATCACGGCCTGTGACCTCCATGTCATCAGGGCCTGTGACCTCCATGTCATCACGGCCTGTGACCTCCATGTCATCACTGCCTGTGACCTCCATGTCATCACGGCCTGTGACCTCCATGTCATCACGGCCTGTGACCTCCATGTCATCACTGCCTGTGACTTCCATGTCATCACTGCCTGTGACCTCCATGTCATCACGGCCTGTGACCTCCATGTCATCACGGCCTGTGACCTCCATGTCATCACGGCCTGTGACCTCCATGTCATCACGGCCTGTGACCTCCATGTCATCACGGCCTGTGACCTCCATGTCATCACGGCCTGTGACCTCCATGTCATTACGGCCTGTGACCTCCATGTCATCACTGCCTGTGACCTCCATGTCATCACGGCCTGTGACCTCGATGTCATCACGGCCTGTGACCTCCATGTCATCACGGCCTGTGACCTCCATGTCATCACTGCCTGTGACCTCCATGTCATCACTGCCTGTGACCTCCATGTCATCACTGCCTGTGACCTCCATGTCATCAATGCCTGTGACCTCCATGTCATCACGGCCTGTGACCTCCATGTCATTACGGCCTGTGACCTCCATGTCATCACTGCCTGTGACCTCCATGTCATCACTGCCTGTGACCTCCATGTCATTACAGCCTGTGACCTCCATGTCATTACGGCCTGTGACCTCCATATCATCACTGCCTGTGACCTCCATGTCATCACTGCCTGTGACCTCCATGTCATCACGGCCTGTGACCTCGATGTCATCACGGCCTGTGACCTCCATGTCATCACGGCCTGTGACCTCCATGTCATCACGGCCTGTGACCTCCATGTCATCACTGCCTGTGACCTCCATATCATCACGGCCTGTGACCTCCATGTCATCACGGCCTGTGACCTCCATGTCATCACGGCCTGTGACCTCCATGTCATCACGGCCTGTGACCTCCATGTCATCACGGCCTGTGACCTCCATGTCATCACGGCCTGTGACCTCCATGTCATCACTGCCTGTGACCTCCATGTCATCACGGCCTGTGACCTCCATGTCATCACGGCCTGTGACCTCCATGTCATCACGGCCTGTGACCTCCATGTCATCACTGCCTGTGACCTCCATGTCATCACGGCCTGTGACCTCCATGTCATCACTGCCTGTGACCTCCATGTCATCACGGCCTGTGACCTCCATGTCATCACTGCCTGTGACCTCCATGTCATCACGGCCTGTGACCTCCATGTCATCACGGCCTGTGACCTCCATGTCATCACGGCCTGTGACCTCCATGTCATCACTGCCTGTGACCTCCATGTCATCACTGCCTGTGACCTCCATGTCATCACTGCCTGTGACCTCCATGTCATCACGGCCTGTGACCTCCATGTCATCACGGCCTGTGACCTCCATGTCATCACTGCCTGTGACCTCCATGTCATCACGGCCTGTGACCTCCATGTCATCACGGCCTGTGACCTCCATGTCATCACTGCCTGTGACCTCCATGTCATCACGGCCTGTGACCTCCATGTCATCACGGCCTGTGACCTCCATGTCATCACGGCCTGTGACCTCCATGTCATCACTGCCTGTGACCTCCATGTCATCACGGCCTGTGACCTCCATGTCATCACTGCCTGTGACCTCCATGTCATCACGGCCTGTGACCTCTATGTCATCACGGCCTGTGACCTCCATGTCATCACTGCCTGTGACCTCCATGTCATCACGGCCTGTGACCTCCATGTCATCACTGCCTGTGACCTCCATGTCATTACGGCCTGTGACCTCCATGTCATCACGGCCTGTGACCTCCATGTCATCACTGCCTGTGACCTCCATGTCATCACGGCCTGTGACCTCCATGTCATCACGGCCTGTGACCTCCATGTCATCACGGCCTGTGACCTCCATGTCATCACGGCCTGTGACCTCCATGTCATCACTGCCTGTGACCTCCATGTCATCACGGCCTGTGACCTCCATGTCATCACGGCCTGTGACCTCCATGTCATCACGGCCTGTGACCTCCATGTCATCACGGCCTGTGACCTCCATGTCATCACGGCCTGTGCAGGTCCCCGTGCGCCGTCCAGATCGCCGTGCCGTGGCCTCGCCATCGCTGCCTGCCGTGGTCACGGCCGCTCACACCGTCAGCTCCCAGCACCACGAGGGTAACTCTTCTCCTCATTTGTCGAGTGTCACGTGCCACGAGGCGTTCTTTGAACTTCAATCACACCGATGGCTTTGTTCTGAACTCTCTCTACCGGTGCAGTGAGCTGGGAGCTGGCTGGCTGCTCCAGCTCAGCCTCGTCAGCAGCAGCAGCAGCAGGATTCTAGCTGAGGCCGAAGTCCGAAGTTGAAAAGCTTTTGACGCGGACAAGAAAACCGAGCCTCCTCGATGCCTCCTGAGCGAGAGAGTCGATCATCAAGAGCCGCATACTTGCAGGAAGCTCCAGCGCACACAAGCCATATGATTTAACACGGTAAAATTCGTGATCTGATCCCATCTGTGAAGGATACGATCCCTGACATGCAGTACCCCGGCGTCTACAAACTAAGCTGTGTATGCGGCAGTAGTTACATTGGGGAAACGAAGCGACATGTCTTGGATCGTGTTCGTGAACATAAGGCAACCCTCGTGGAGGCAGTTAGACCCGGACAGCGAGGTCATTGGCATCTTGGTGTCGGGTGGCATTAATTGCTTTGTATCGAGCCCTGGATTTAACTTCATCAGAGTGAAAAACGCGGTGTTGATAGCCCCAGGCTGACTGAGAAACGTGTTCCCGTGTGGTCTATAGTGGAGAGAAAATGGAGCAGCCCGGCCTGCATCGCCTCGTGCTAAGGCGATAAATATTGGCAACTCCGCACTCGATATTTCATGTCTGAATGAAATAAAGATGCCACTTCTGTTTCTAAACTGTGTGGATAATTTGTTTAAACGGCCGTCATGAAGCATCGTGGGAATTTATGTCTGCTGCACACTATAAAGCCCGGTTACATATACACAGCACAGCCTGGTTACATATACACAGCACAGCCTGGTTACATATACACAGTGCAGTCTGGTTACATATACACAGTGCAGCCTGGTTACATATACACAGTGCAGCCTGGTTACATATACACAGTGCAGCCTGGTTACATATACACAGTGCTGCCTGGTTACATATACACAGTGCTGCCTGGTTACATATACACAGTGCAGTCTGGTTACATATACACAGTGCAGCCTGGTTACATATACACAGTGCAACCTGGTTACATATACACAGTGCTGTCTGGTTACATATACACAGTGCAGTCTGGTTACATATACACAGTGCAGTCTGGTTACATATACACAGTGCTGCCTGGTTACATATACACAGTGCAGTCTGGTTACATATACACAGTGCAGCCTGGTTACATATACACAGTGCAACCTGGTTACATATACACAGTGCTGTCTGGTTACATATACACAGTGCAGTCTGGTTACATATACACAGTGCAGTCTGGTTACATATACACAGTGCAGCCTGGTTACATATACACAGTGCAGCCTGGTTACATATACACAGTGCAGCCTGGTCACATATACACAGTACAGCCTGGTTACATATACACAGCACAGCCTGGTTACATATACACAGTACAGCCTGGTCACATATACACAGTGCAGTCTGGTTACATATACACGGTGCAGTCTGGTTACATATACACAGTGCAGTCTGGTTACATATACACAGTGCAGTCTGGTTACATATACACAGTGATGCCTGGTTACATATACACAGCACAGCCTGGTTACATATACACAGTGCTGTCTGGTTACATATACACAGTGCAACCTGGTTACACATACACAGTGCAGCCTGGTTACATATACACAGTGCTCTCTGGTTACATATACACAGTGCTGCCTGGTTACAAATACACAGTGCTGTCTGGTTACATATACACAGTGCTGCCTGGTTACAAATACACAGTGCTGTCTGGTTACATATACACAGTGCAGCCTGGTCACATATACACAGTGCTGCCTGGTTACATATACACAGTGCTGTCTGGTCACATATACACAGTGCAGCCTGGTCACATATACACAGTGCTGCCTGGTTGCATATACACAGTGCAGTCTGGTTACATATACACAGTGCTGCCTGGTTACATATACATAGCACAGCCTGGTTACATATACACAGCGAAGTCTGGTTACATATACACATTGCAGCCTGGTTACATATACACAGTGCTGCCTGGTTACATATACACAGTGCAGTCTGGTTACATATACACAGTGCTGCCTGGTTACATATACACAGCACAGCCTGGTTACATATACACAGTGCAGTCTGGTTACATATACACAGTGCAGGCTGGTTACATATACACAGCACAGCCTGGTTACATATACACAGTGCTGCCTGGCTCCATATACACAGTGCAGTCTGGTTACATATACACAGTGCTGCCTGGTTACATATACACAGTGCAGTCTGGTTACATATACACAGTGCAGTCTGGTTACATATACACAGCACAGCCTGGTTACATATACACAGTGCAGTCTGGTTACATATACACAGTGCAGCCTGGTTACATATACACAGTGCAGCCTGGTTACATATACACAGTGCAGCCTGGTTACATATACACAGTGCAGCCTGGTTACATATACACAGTGCAGTCTGGTTACATATACCCAGTGCAGTCTGGTTACATATACACAGCACAGCCTGGTTACATATACACAGTGCAGTCTGGTTACATATACACAGTGCAGCCTGGTTACATATACACAGTGCAGCCTGGTTACATATACACAGTGCTGCCTGGTTACATATACACAGTGCAACCTGGTTACACATACACAGTGCAGCCTGGTTACATATACACAGTGCTGCCTGGTTACATATACACAGTGCTGCCTGGTTACATATACACAGTGCAGTCTGGTTACATATACACAGTGCAACCTGGTTACATATACACAGTGCTGTCTGGTTACATATACACAGTGCAGTCTGGTTACATATACACAGTGCAGTCTGGTTACATATACACAGTGCAGTCTGGTTACATATACACAGTGCAGCCTGGTTACATATACACAGTGCAGCCTGGTCACATATACACAGTACAGCCTGGTTACATATACACAGCACAGCCTGGTTACATATACACAGTACAGCCTGGTCACATATACACAGTGCAGTCTGGTTACATATACACAGTGCAGTCTGGTTACATATACACAGTGCAGTCTGGTTACATATACACAGTGATGCCTGGTTACATATACACAGCACAGCCTGGTTACATATACACAGTGCTGTCTGGTTACATATACACAGTGCAACCTGGTTACACATACACAGTGCAGCCTGGTTACATATACACAGTGCTCTCTGGTTACATATACACAGTGCTGCCTGGTTACAAATACACAGTGCTGTCTGGTTACATATACACAGTGCTGCCTGGTTACAAATACACAGTGCTGTCTGGTTACATATACACAGTGCAGCCTGGTCACATATACACAGTGCTGCCTGGTTACATATACACAGTGCTGTCTGGTCACATATACACAGTGCTGCCTGGTTACATATACACAGTGCAGCCTGGTTACATATACACAGTGCAGTCTGGTTACATATACACAGTGCAGTCTGGTTACATATACACAGTGCTGCCTGGTTACATATACACAGTGCTGTCTGGTCACATATACACAGTGCTGCCTGGTTACATATACACAGTGCAGCCTGGTTACATATACACAGTGCAGCCTGGTTACATATACACAGTGCAGTCTGGTTACATATACACAGTGCTGCCTGGTTACAAATACACAGTGCTGTCTGGTTACATATACACAGTGCAGCCTGGTCACATATACACAGTGCTGCCTGGTTACATATACACAGTGCTGTCTGGTCACATATACACAGTGCTGCCTGGTTACATATACACAGTGCAGCCTGGTTACATATACACAGTGCTGCCTGGTTACATATACACAGTGCTGCCTGGTTACATATACACAGCACAGCCTGGTTACATATACACAGTGCAGTCTGGTTACATATACACAGTGCAGGCTGGTTACATATACACAGCACAGCCTGGTTACATATACACAGTGCTGCCTGGCTCCATATACACAGTGCAGTCTGGTTACATATACACAGTGCTGCCTGGTTACATATACACAGTGCAGTCTGGTTACATATACACAGTGCAGTCTGGTTACATATACCCAGTGCAGTCTGGTTACATATACACAGTGCAGTCTGGTTACATATACACAGTGCAGCCTGGTTACATATACCCAGTGCAGTCTGGTTACATATACACAGTGCTGTCTGGTTACATATGCACAGGGCAGTCTGGTTACATATACACAGTGCTGTCTGGTTACATATACACAGTGCAGTCTGGTTACATATACACAGTGCTGTCTGGTTACATATGCACAGGGCAGTCTGGTTACATATACACAGCACAGCCTGGTTACATATACACAGTGCTGCCTGGTTACATATACACAGTGCAGCCTGGTTACATATACACAGTGCTGCCTGGTTACATATACACAGTGCAGCCTGATTACATATACACAGTGCAGCCTGGTCACATATACACAGTACAGCCTGGTTACATATACACAGCACAGCCTGGTTACATATACACAGTGCTGCCTGGTTACATATACACAGTGCAGCCTGGTTACATATACACAGTGCAGTCTGGTTACATATACACAGTGCAGCCTGATTACATATACACAGTGCAGCCTGGTCACATATACACAGTACAGCCTGGTTACATATACACAGCACAGCCTGGTTACATATACACAGTGCTGCCTGGTTACATATACACAGTGCAGCCTGGTTACATATACACAGTGCAGTCTGGTTACATATACACAGTGCTGCCTGGCTCCATATACACAGTGCAGTCTGGTTACATATACACAGTGCTGCCTGGTTACATATACACAGTGCAGTCTGGTTACATATACACAGTGCAGTCTGGTTACATATACACAGTGCTGCCTGGCTCCATATACACAGTGCAGTCTGGTTACATATACACAGTGCAGTCTGGTTACATATACACAGTGCAGCCTGGTTACATATACACAGTGCAGTCTGGTTACATATACACAGTGCAGTCTGGTTACATATGCACAGGGCAGTCTGGTTACATATACACAGCACAGTCTGGTTACATATACACAGTGCAGCCTGGTCACATATATACAGTACAGCCTGGTTACATATACACAGCACAGCCTGGTTACATATACACAGTACAGCCTGGTCACATATACACAGTGCAGTCTGGTTACATATACACAGTGCAGTCTGGTTACATATACACAGTGCAGTCTGGTTACATATACACAGTGCAGTCTGGTTACATATACACAGTGATGCCTGGTTACATATACACAGCACAGCCTGGTTACATATACACAGTGCTGTCTGGTTACATATACACAGTGCAACCTGGTTACATATACACAGTGCAGCCTGGTTACATATACACAGTGCTGTCTGGTTACATATACACAGTGCTGCCTGGTTACAAATACACAGTGCAGCCTGGTTACATATACACAGTGCTGTCTGGTTACATATACACAGTGCAGCCTGGTCACATATACACAGTGCTGTCTGGTTACATATACACAGTGCAACCTGGTTACATATACACAGTGCAGCCTGGTTACATATACACAGTGCTGTCTGGTTACATATACACAGTGCAGCCTGGTCACATATACGCAGTGCTGCCTGGTTACATATACACAGTGCTGTCTGGTCACATATACACAGTGTAGCCTGGTCACATATACACAGTGCTGCCTGGTTGCATATACACAGTGTAGCCTGGTCACATATACACAGTGCTGCCT